GTCAGACTCCAGATGATCGAAGAGGCCTGCAACAGTGAAGATGACACCGACAGACCTTTCAACCAGCAAGAACTCCAGAAGTCGCTAAAACGAAGCAAGGACACAGCACCAGGGGCCGACAGGATAACCTACTCCATGCTTTCCCATGCCGGAAGCCGGACACGAGGCTTTGCTACAAGTCATCAATGCTTCGTGGACAGCACAAAGACTTCCACCGGAATGGAAGAAGGCAGATATACAGCCCATTCCGAAGCCCAGAGAACCAGACAAACCAAGACCCATCTCCCTCCTCAGCTGCATAGCGAAGACGGGAGAAAGAATGGCTCTCAACAGACTCAAGTGGAAAGTAGGCAGCCCACACCCTCACATTTTTGCTTACACCGACAACACCGGCACAAGCAACAATATTGCCGAGATACTCAGCACAGTGGACAATAAACCAGCTTTGGTGGTCTTCCTCGACCTGGAGAAGGCCTTCGAACTAGCAAATCCACTGGCCATTATAACGACGCTCGCTGAAAAAGGCGTCAAAGGAAGGTTGCTGGGTGGATCCAGAACTACCTCACACAGAGAGAAGCAAGAGTACGCTTTCTGGGGGCAACGTCAAGCTACAGGGTCCACGAAAACGGAACCCCACAAGGAGGCATCCTCAGTCCAACGCTGTTCAATGTCCTGTTGGAAAATCTAGTCAGACTTCCTTTCAGGCAAACAGCCAAGCTCCTCTGCTATGCAGATGACTTACAGCTCATAGTAAGAGGAGCAAACAGACTAGCCAACACGCAACACGCACTCCAACTTATAGAAGAGGAGTGCAACAGACTTGGACTCAAAATAAATGCAGCCAAGTCGAAAGCGATGGCCATCTGCACAGACACACCAGACATGATGCTCTCCATACAAAACCGCCGGTAGTCTGGACCAACACCCACCAGTATCATGGAATCTGGTTTGACCAGAAACTCACTTTCAAGCCGCAACTCGAGTATCTCGGGCACGGGACGAAGAGCAGACACAACATAATGAGGTCGCTCACCAGCACAACCGCAGGAGCGAAGATACACGTGCTCAAAGCCTACTACACGGCCGCCATCAGATCGCTGGTAGATTACAGTGCTCCAGCGCTCATTGGACTGAGAGAAGACACGATAGCTAAGCTAGAAGTAATCCAAAATAATGCTCTCAGGAACGTGCTCGGAGCACCCATGTGAACCAGAATTTGCAATTTGCAAATGGAAACTGAACTACCACCCTTGGCAATACGAGTCAGGCAGGTGACAGCCGGTCTCCTCGCCAAAATCTGTAGATCAGATAAGCCCACAGCTGTCAAAACGCGAATCAGTGCCTCCCTCCACCTCGACCACAGAGTGCGAGGGGCCACCTGGTCGCACGAGGCAAGCGAGGTCATCCGACACCTGCAAGCAGAAACACTCGTCAAGAACAACCAAGACATACGAGACAATGGTTATGTAGTTCCACCACCATGGAGCTCTCCACCAGCCACAATCAAAATTACCAACCTAGGTGATAGCAAAGCCAACCTCCAGAAGGAGGACCTCCAAAGAATAACACAGGAAGCCATAGCCACCGAGACACCGGCTATGCAGCATCATACTTCACAGACGGCTCGGTGGATCCAAAACATCATACATCCGGAGCGGCCTTCCACACCCAAGGTCAGACCCTCCTATGGAAACTTTCTAATGACTGCTCCACCCTACAAACAGAGTTGGTAGCAATCTCAAAGGCCCTACAACACGCTGCAACACAACACAACAAGTCCATCATAATTCACACGGACTCGAAATCGGCCATGCAGGCGCTGCAACACAGTCAACCAAGAGACAACGTCCACATCATAACCTCGATCCTCGCACAGCTACAGGAATTCCAAAGACAAAACCGCCCAGTCGTCTTACACTGGATTCCCAGTCATGTAGGGATCGGAGGAAACGACGTGGCAGACGAAGCAACCAAGGCAGCCACACGTTCTAGTAGCATACACATTCAAGTTCCAGCAAGCGTGCAACAGATCAAGAATCATCTCAGAAAGACTAGCAAGCTCCAGATCCAAAAGAGCTTCCTTCACGCATTCAACGCTGGTTCCCAATCAGCCAAATGGTACGTGGCGGCTACAAAAGGGGAACCACCTCTTGCAGACAAGAAAACACCAAGACAAACCCAAGTTAGTCTCCATCGACTACGACTAGGGTACAAGTGCTCCTGGCAGATGATCGGAAATGACGTCATGGAATGCACCTACTGTCAGGAGCCAGCAGCCAACCCACTTGAACACTATCTCCTCGACTGCGAAGTCACACAAAGTCTCCGAAACAGAACTCAAAACTTCCAAGAAGCACACAACACCAGCGGCCACTCTAACCCGAAAGGCCCAAACAAACCACATTCACCACCTACTCCGGGTCATCACACGATACCCACCACCCAGATAGCTTAGAAAGTATCCTTTCCCAGCAAGTGTGGACCCCAGTTCGGGGGGCGCGCCACTCCGAAACTGACCACGTCCAAGAGTGGGGGTTGGTAGTAAGCGTCCACTGATCGGGGGTCCGCTCACACTTGCAACCTGCAGTACCCTTTCATATCTGCAGGTAGGACAACCTTCAATCACAAATCCGGTCTGGCTGCTCCAGGAGCTCCAGCCGGAACCACCAAACGGGCCGCCTATAGGCAAAGGCCCGTATCGGACTACGGTCCGACAATCTCAACAACAAACAACCAGTGAGATTCATTCTACCCTACGTTCCTGAACACGCAACATCTCCTCTAACGAAGCTCCTGCACAGACACCTCCTCAAGCACGCTACTCACTGAACGTGTCTCTTGAGCAAGCCTCTCGCCACACGGCATCTCCAGCACCAGACTGTCTTTCATATAATATATTTTATACAATAAAACCACCACCTAGAGTTTCTATCCATCCATCCTGAGTGCTAGACAACATAATATCACGTAACCCTACACTATTACCAGAGTCCTGTTACGAATTAAGAGCTAAGGTTCTCAGGTAACTTGTATGAATGGTGCTTAAGTGTGCTATATGCAATATTATAGTGTTGTGTGTTCTTTTAAATGTACACCCAGTTATGGTGTAAGTGGAAAATATACCTAATTGGAAGTCCAAAATGAGAAGAGCCAGGGAGTTGAGCCTTGTAGTTGTATGTTACTGAAAGTATTCATAAATCTAATTTCATTTTAATAATCCATTTTATGTGTATGTTAATCCCAGTCCACACTATCGAACAGTGACCGTCGGGCACGAGTGATGAGTCCGTCATCGCACACTGTTTTTGGCAACTTTGACGGGCAAACCAGTGGACAGCCCATGCCCGTAGTTGAGCGATCAGCAGACTGCCCGGTAGTTTGGCGCCAGGCATGGACCGACGACGACCAGCACAATACATAATGATCACTATCAATATTTAAGTTATTTAATGGAGAGAGTCTTGTACATACGTTTTGGAGTGTATGTAATTACTTTATACAATAAACAGTTTATTTCTTTACACAACAGTGGTGTCAAACAATAATACTATATAAACAATCCTACCTGCAAGTAATCTTCCCGAGTACTGCATATATAGCTCCACATGTTTCTGGTATTATGAGTGACAAACTCTGCTTCGATATCCTAGTGGTATACTGCAGTGACGAGTATGTGCACCCAGTTGCTCGACATCTGAGCGTTGCTTCACGGGCTGCTGCTGGGGTGGACGGAAGAAACTTCACAATTTTGGCTAGGAAAAAAAGTCACGGGAAAGAAAGTCACATTTTATTTCACAAAACTCAAAATATTTTAAAACAATTATTAACTGAAAATACATGACTTTTACATATTGACAACACAATTTATATATGATGCAAGTTGGTTAGGTTAAGTTTTTTCCGTGCCTTTTTGTGACACTTTTTCTTGTGACTTTTTCCTGAGACTTTTTTCCTGTTACTTTTTTTCCTGGATTCGCTACTGGTATACTCTACCTCAGATGGGTATCTTCCTTTGTTATTTATGGTTCCACTTTAGCTAGGAGTGTGTAAAAGGCGTTGATATCCATTCTCATGTAGTTGGTGAAATCACGCTCACTTCCATCTTGTAGTTCACGTAATACAGTATACCAGATCGTTTTCTGCACACTGTCCTTACTTTTATTTTTTACAAACACAGCAATTAATATGCGGTTTCTCTCTCTATCTGAGGCTGTTTCTCTTTCTCTATGTGAGGCTTTCTCTCTCTCTCTCTCTCTATCTGAGGCTGTTTCTCTCTCTCTCTCTCTCTATCTGAGGCGATTTTTTTTCTCTATCTGGGGCTGTTATTCTCTCTATCTGGGGCTGTTTTTCTCTATCTGGGGCTGTTATTCTCTCTATCTGGGGCTGTTATTCTCTCTATCTGGGGCTGTTTTTCTCTCTATCTGGGGCTGTTATTCTCTCTATCTGAGGCTGTTTTTCTCTCTATCTGGGGCTGTTATTCTCTATCTGGGGCTGTTTTCTCTCTATCTGGGGCTGTTATTTCTCTATCTGGGGCTGTTATTCTCTCTATCTGGGGCTGTTTTTTCTCTATCTGGGGCTGTTATTCTCTCCATCTGAGGCTGTTTTCTCTCTATCTGGGGCTGTTATTCTCTCTATCTGGGGCTGTTATTCTCTATTCTGTTATTCTCTCTATCTGGGGCTGTTTTTCTCTCTATCTGGGGCTGTTATTCTCTCTATCTGGGGCTGTTATTCTCTCTATCTGGGGCTGTTATTCTCTCTATCTGGGGCTGTTATTCTCTCTATCTGGGGCTGTTTTTCTCTCTATCTGGGGCTGTTATTCTCTCTATCTGGGGCTGTTATTCTCTCTATCTGGGGCTGTTATTCTCTCTATCTGGGGCTGTTATTCTCTCTATCTGAGGTAGATAAATCAGTAGACATATGCCAATAGATAGACAGTTATAACTCGGCAGACACATGATGAATCTCATTTGAGGTGAAAATTAGGAAAAACATTGTATTAATGATTTTTTGTTTCAATATACTGTATTTCTGAAGACAGGTCAGGTCAGGTCAGGTCAAGTCAGGTCAGTCATTGTCTCTCCCTCCCACCCATTGTCTTTATTTGTCACTCTCTACTTCCCCCTTTTCTCTCTCTCTCTTTCACTCTGCCCAATCTGTAACTCTCTCTCACAACAAAAAACATGGCCTTATAATTGAACAAATAATAATAATAACAATAATATATGGACTAGCAATTATTCAACACAGCGGGCCACTTGGCAGCTTGGTCGACCTGAGGCACTTCGCTACAATAAATAAATAAATTAATATACATACTGTACATACATACATACATATACCCACATGGGTTTAAATACACGTAAGTTGCATGTGCGTATACCACTCGGTGTATATTCATCCCTCAATCTGTAGATATACCGGTAACTATTCTATCATATGTTCACACAGGTTCCATCTGTGGTGACAGTTGTGTGTACATACTGTCATTTGCAAATGACACCTCTGATATGACAAATATGGGTTAATACACCTGTCCTGTCTTATTTGACAGTTTTAGAGTGGCATACTACTGTCATATCACACACAACACCTCAATTTCATCAAGTTATACATGACATGACAATATGACATCACAGAGAGTAGATAAATTAAATATTTACTGACATGAAAGATGCTGTCATATATTTACTGGCATGATGCACTCATCAGAAGTTTATTGGCATATGACAGGTCATGTCAGGTATGAGTCACAGATCATGTTAATAAAGAATGACATGATAGAATATTAGGTATTTTCCATGATGTTAGATATAAAGTACAGTATATACTGGTATGACACAATCCATACATGTTATCCTGGCATATGACAGTTCATGACAGGCACATGACAGTCACAGTTGATGTCAGATGTTAACAGGGGGTTGGGTTATAGGATCACTCAAGTCCATTTCTTGGTATGATTTGGTGTCACTTGATGGGACATCATCCGTCACCATCGCGTCACTAGAACTACTGGTGTCACTCGCGTCGAGGCTCTTGGTTTCAGTGTCATATGATGCAACACCCCTAGGACCATAATGCTCCCTCCTAGAGATGTGGTCTTGGCTGGTCTCATATGATGCAACATCCCTAGGACCGTAATGCTCCCTCCTAGAGATGTGGTCTTGGCTGGTCTCATATGATGCAACACCCCTAGGACCATAATGCTCCCTCCTAGAGCTGTGGTCTTGGTTGGAAAAGCCAACATTTTGAACCTGGGGTAAGAATTGACTTCGGGGACTACAGCTGTCCTGATATTGTCCGCCATGTTCTTGCCCAGAAAACCGGTCATTGTGATCCCGGGTAAGAAACCGATCTCGTGCAACCCCAGAGCGGAACTCCTCGGAGAGATCGGGACCACTGAAAGAACGATTCCGCTCCCGGTTATCAAATGAGGAGTGATTTTGGCTTACAAACCGGTCATTTTCCTGTTGGCTACCAAATGCAGACGTGTGTTCTGTGCTCAGAGCCGGTGACACGGGCTTGAACAGGTGTGGTGGGGCTTCGGGTGTGTGGACACCAGCCTCGACGGGCGAATACGCTTGGGATGAGAGTCCTGGCGATTCTGATGAACATACTGATTCAGGAGTTCCTACGCTCCCTAAAGAACCTGGTCCCCCAGGGGTTGGGGAGTTGTCTAGGGATCCCACACTGAAAAATAATTATTATTAAATATGTTATTATCATATTAGTAGTAATTGCAGTATAGGAGTACCTGATGGCTTTGTTGGTTATCTTTGGTCAAATTTTTACACCTTGTATGCCTTCACAATCTATAGTAGTGTTTTTCTAGCTGATGGCACAAGCCCAACCCAGCATGCAGCTCATTGGCTCATACATAATGTTCAATTAATATTGATGTATCACAAATAACTCCATATATAACTGTTAAAGAGCACCATTCACCACTACTGTACTTTTCTTTTAACTAATTATTATTATGTATATTAAGACAAATGACACCAAACATCTAAGCCAACAGATAATAACAACCATTTCATAAGGAGTAGAATCAAGTGTAAACACCACATATTGACGTAAAGGTGTTGTTTAAGACAAACGTTAAAGGGAGGTGGTGCGCTTGGTGGAAGAGCTGCTCTGAGAGAGAGAGAGAGAGAGAGAGAGAGAGTGAGATTAAAAATAAATATAGAAGAAAAAAGTTTATATTAATCTACACCACGAAGATGCCGGAAAACAGCTTTTTGAAGTAAGACAGATTGCACGAGTATGGAAACACAGAAAAAGGCAGAGCATTCCACAGTTTGGCTGTGTGAGGAAAGAAGGATGTACTATAACGGGTTATTCTGGCGTGACCGACATCCACAGAGAAATGATGGGCACTGAGGGCAAGATGAGCGTTGTGAGCCCACGGCCTTGCCGGCGGTACACAGGATGCCAAATTCACCGAACATTGCCCGTTAAAGTACCTGTAAAAGAGAGAGAGTGAAGCAAAATTGTGGCGAAGAGAAAGGGAAGAAAGATTATCAACTAAAGGAGGAGAGTCGATAAGATGAAATGCCTTTGATTCCACCCGATCTAACAGTTGGACAAAAGAAGAGCCACCCCAGATATGAGAGCAGTACTCCAAGTTAGGACGAATGAATCCCTTCTAAACTTGAAACAACTGCTCAGGAGCGAAGTAGCTATGGCAACTGTACAGCATTCCCAGCTTTTGGGAGGCAGCTTTAGAAATGTTGAGGATGTGTGGCTTCCATGACATATTAGAGGAAATGGTGAGGCCTAGCATATCTATTCTAGAATTTGGCAGAATGATAGCGTCCCGAAATGTGATTGGTGGGAGATCATCTAATTTGGAAAGTGTAACTGGTAAATACTGAGTTTTATTACTATTGAATTTAACCAAGTTTCTACCTCCCCATTCAGAGATGCTGCACAGATCCACAGTGATAGATGTAATGATATTAGCTCTAGAAACAGATCTAGTTAGAGAATTAGTGGGAAGAGAAAAATGTGAAGAAGAGTGATGAGCAGAATCATCAGCGTAAGAATGGATAGATTTAGTCGTAATGTGAAGTAAATCAGTGATAAAAAGAAGGAAGAGAGTAGGTGAAAGACCAGAACCCTGTGGAACACCACTATTGGTAGAGAAAGAGTGAGAGATCGATCCCTTGACAACAACTGCCATGGATCGGTTCTCAAGGAAGCTAGAAATTAGAGAAACCATAAAGGGGAAGTTTAGAAAGCAAAGACTTGTGCCATACCCTGTCAAATGCTTTAGAGATGTCGAGGGCCACGACGAAAGTTTCCCCATAATCCCTAAGAGAGGATGACCAAAGATGGGTGCAGTAGGAGAGCAGATCACCAGTAGATTTCCCCTGGCAAAAACCATACTGGTGATCTGACAAAAGAGAATGGAATTCAAGGTGACGGAGAAAACGAGAGTTCAAGATGGTTTCGAAAATCTTAGAGAAGGATGAAGTTAGGGCAATGGGGCGATAGTTAGAGGGATTGGAATGGTCACCCTTCTTCAGGATGGGCTGAATCAAAGCATGCTTCCAAGAAGAAGGAAAAATTTGGGTTTTAAGGCAAAGGCGAAAGAGGCGAGCAAGCACAGGGGCCAGAATTTCAGCACACTCCCTCAGACATGAGGGAGTATTCCATCCAGTCCATGTGCCGTACTCACCAAGCGCACCACCTCCCTGTTACATTCGTCTTAAACAACACCTTTACATCAATATGTGGTGTTACACTTGATTCTACTCCTTATAAAATGGTTGTTATTATCTGTTGCTTTATATGTTTGGTGTCATTTGTCTTAATATATATAATAATAATTAGTTAACAAAAGTACAGTAGTGGTGAATGGTGCTCTTTAACAGTTATATATGGAGTTATTTGTGATACATCAATATTAATTGAACATTATGTACGAGCCAATGAGCTGCAAGGGGGGGCAGGGCTTCTGAAACTATTACCATCTGCTAAAAAGAAAACTGACTTAAGGTAAGGTAAGGTAAGGTAAGGTTATTCTTATTATCATTACAATATCCACAAAATATATATTTGAGCTTACCTATGGGGCTGGGTTATTAAAAGACCTCCAATGCAACGATCTGGTGCACAGGAGGACATACGTTTATTAGGGGTAACAAACGGCTCACACCGATCATCTACGTCCCATTTCCGCTTGAGTCCCGCCCCAAGAGGCGACGGCCGGAGAGCTATGGGGCTTAGACTCCTCCGTGTGGCGAATGTTTTCTTTGTTGGTGATGGGGAGGGACAGAATGACATATTTCGAACGTGTTGTTGGAGCGAGGGCGAGAAGCACTGTCTGCCAACGCCCCGAGTTGGCGATGCACCGCAGCCAGTCAGTGGCAGGACCGTGGGAACAATCGTTAAGTGGAGAGGGTCGGTGAAATCACGTCGGATGGATGTCGTGTTCAAGGTCGCTCCCGATGTGTTTGTGTTTACGTTGGTCGACACGCTGATTGGGGTGGATATGCTTGTTGGGACGCTGCCTGGGATCGTGTGAGGCTTGGGTCGACCGATGTCTTCTGTCTATGGTTATAAACACAAATTAGTTTATATTTTAACTTAACCTGAGCTAACCTTAGCCCCTCCACTACAGGGATGCCACTTTTAATATTTTATTTCACTAACACCAGATGATATTATTCAGCTCAGAGGCAACACTATAAACATGGGGTTAAGTTAACCTAACATTTATCAAACTGAATTCAACCTAATCTAACCTATGCTAACTTAACCTAACCTAATGTAATCTAACCTAACCTAGCTGACCTTAAACCAGAGCTAACCTAATCCAGACATGGGGTAATCATAATCTGTAATAGTAATCAATTAAAGGCACACCACCGATTTTCCAGGAAGTGATGATCCCGCACCTAGTTTAGTCCGGACCAAATTACGAGAGGGCACTTAACTCCCCTCCCTCCCTCTCTGCCATATTTCACTAGATTTACTGTTATTGTTAGTCTTTTCTGATACATTAGTGTTTAATATTGATTAATCATGGCACTGTAGCCAGTTTAAACTCATCACTGTAACCACCAGGCTACTAGGCCAAGCTGTGAGGTCTTATGGTTGTTTTTCCATCTCATATTTTTGGGTAGATATACATAACTTTTTTCATTTATTTGACTCAGTTACATGCACACACCATCCTATATACATATGGTTAAAATAGTAAAAGAAATAATTGTACTAAGTTTATTACTAAAAAATTTCTCAAGTGCAAACTATGTGATGTTTGGACTTAAATTAATCAACATCTCACAAGAATTACTGCAATGCAAGTTCTGCTAAGTAAATTCAGTGACATTTTACAAGAGCTAAAACTTAAACTCCCTCTATTGACTGATAACTATGTACCTTGTTATCTCCCCGCCGGCTGTCAACACCTCACCTCATCCCCCTCGCTTCCTCCCAGCCAGGGTGAAAGCAGTTTTAGGCTTAAAGTTTTTATCTTATAAAATGTTGCTGACTAGAATTAACAGAATATAACTTACATTGCTGGAATCCTTGTACAATAGTAATTAATTTGAGTATAAACATCATATAGGTTGCACAAGAGATGAAAATTTTAGTCCTTTACTGTAGTACATTTGAGTATAAAGTGTGTACAGTAATATGTTGCTCAAAATTATGGCTTTTTCACATTTAATTTACATTTAATATTTGTTTAATTTAAGTTTCTAGCAGTCCATGGTGCTTTAGAGACACAGGAGGTGTATAATTAGTGGGTCAGGTGTATTGTTGAATTATTATTACCTGACCTCGGTTGGTCCGGCAAAACGGATAATCTGGCAAGGCTTTGGAACCAAGGGTGCCGGAAAATTGGTCTAATCGATTAAAATGTTGAAGTAATCGTAAACGATTACATTTTCATTTAGGATAAACTAATCGTAATTGATTACATCCAAAATGTAATCGTAATCATGATTACTTTCACGATTACAAGAGTAAGTACATGCTGCTACTTCATTTCCTTTTCTTATAATACCGACCTCATTATTTTCAATACAGTCATCTACATTGGGTCCTTCATATGACTCGGCAAACATTCACCATCTATATTATGTCTGTTATACTAGGGTAACAAAATACTGAGTCAGTAAGATTTAAACATTCGTGCTGGTAACTACTGATTAAGCAAACACAGACTATACTAGCATGCAGACTTGGGCTAATCATTTCATCAATTACGTGAAGCTTCAGCAACAGTGAATTTGTTTATTCTTACAAGATTAAACCAGACTGCATAAGTTTAAACCACACGCGAACTGGACGTGTCAACCGTCTCACGGTGAACCACCCAAAAGAAGGTGATGCCATTTTATTTGTGTTTTTGTTTTGTAAACTGAATTCGTAATACTTATGAATTACAATTGTTAAATGTAATGTGCATACGATATCGATACAGCCTACAGTAAGCATACAGTTACCATCGCAAGCAAATATAAACAAACCACGAGTCAGTGTCAGCTGGTACCAGTTGTCCATCAGCGCTTGGTCCAGCGTAATGTTTCAATGCCCTGTGACTGTTGAACAAAACAAAGAATCCATGCCTCTCCTCACCTTGTAGTACTAGAACCTGTTGAGAGAGTATTCAGTGTTGCTGGCCAAATCTTTAGGCCACATAGTGAAAAAACCTTCCACAGTCTAGTTTTAATTAAGTTCAACAAATTAATAATAAGTTTTAATTTCTATATACCTGTCCTGAGAAGGTGTAACCACTCAATATTTTCTTACTGTTATTGATGTATAATAATGAACTGTACATTTTATTTGCTTAAATTAATAGCATTAGATAGTTTTTATTCTTGAAACTACAGTATCTCTGATATAATGGACACAGTATGTTTCAAAAGCTCTGAGGTCTACTGGTAATTCTTTTCTTAAAAAAAACTTAATTTTAAATTTACTACTACAGTACACAGGGCCGTCCCGAGGGTATGGCAACCGGTTAGACCGCCCCAGGCCCCGCGGCCCTTACCTCACCCAACACCAGAATTAGTGACCGAGTTAAGCTGACCTCACCTTACCACCCAGATTCAGGAGACCAACTGAAGGATTAGTGACCAGCACAGTTAGGCAATGCATCTGCTGACATGAGGTCAAAGGTAAGATTAAACCAGACTGAGAACAATGTCCGTGATTTGTGTTTTGTGAAATTGTTGATATACATTATCTTACTGTTGAACAGCCCTCTATTATACCATGGACACCAGGGAAAGAAACAGACACAGAAAATACATCTCCGGTGCAGAGAAAAGGAAGAGAGAAGCAATTGAAATGTCAATGAAAGATTCCCTAAAAAAATATGTTTTAAGAAACACCAGAACTAGTGTAAAAAAGGAGCTGAGTGACTGTGATGGTGATAGTGTGAGTCATATTCAAGCTGAGGAAGAGGAGAGTACTGAAAAAAATACTAAGGCTTTTAAAATGGACAGCTCTACCTACGCTAACTGTCATGTTGATGAATATCTATGTGATCCAGCCAACTGGCCACATTTACTGGACACTACTACAATTGATATTTTGTTATGAAAGGGACCTGTTAAGGTATCTAGTGAAAATTATGTGTTTCCCAAAAATGATGAAAACCGATACGTTTCAGAAGACTTTTACATGCGAAGATTGCCAAATGGGGAAATATATGAAAGATGTTATAACATAGTAAATTACATTATACTTGGCATAGTAATAGTATGATTGGGGAATTAACAATATGTATAGTACAGTATGTATGTATGTAACTATACAAACAAATTTGAACCTCTTTTATTTCATATATATATATATATATATATATATATATATATATATATATATATATATATATATATATATATATATATATATATATATATATATATATATATATATATATATATATATATATATGTATGTATGTATGTATGTATGTATATATATATATATATATATATATATATATATATATATATATATATATATATATATATATATATATATATATATATATATATATATATATGTATGTATGTATGTATGTATGTATGTATATATATATATATATATATATATTAAGAATACAAAGGGGCCCCACAGTGGATGAATTGCCCTGGGCCCCGCACCCCCTAGGAACGACTCTGACAGTACAATATTGTTTTGATAATCTTCATTTACTGAAAGTAATGTCTTAGGTATATCTGAGTATGCAGTACAGTAGCCATACATTTATCACAGCACTAAATTACTATCCTCTTATAAGCATTTGTGTTAATAATATTCCAAAACTTGTGAACACTTAAGTTATTTAGGTCAAATACATTTCTATATTTAATTTCCATATTAATCTTTTGAAAATTTACTGTAGATCCATCTGTTAAAGATTTTGAATTATTTTTGTCTATTAAATGGCCAAACCATTATGTATAATTTCTGCCTTTTTCAACTCTCAGAAAATATCATTTAATTGCACCAGGTTGACAAACAATACAGTAAATTGAGTTTCTGTAGTACGTTCATTTATTTACCCACAGTCCTTTAGAAGTATTCATGATTGGGCATCATGTAATCGATCACATCCATTTTTCCTGTAATAGTAATGAAATTACCATGTAACTGAAATCACCCCATGTCTGACCTAACCTAGCTGAACTTAAACCTAACTTAACCTAATGTGATATAACCTAACCTAACCTAAACTAATCTTAACCTAACCTAGCAAAACTTAACCTAACATAAGCTTAACTAAAAATCTCTCAAAAACAATCTTAAACAGTCTAACAGTTCTTTATATAATATTAGAACAGTTAGTCACTAAGGTCAGGTCCTGCCAACAGTCACTCACTAAGGTCAGGTCCTGCCAACAGTCACTCACTAAGGTCAGGTCCTGCCAACAGTCACTCACTAAGGTCAGGTCCTGCCAACAGTCACTCACTAAGGTCAGGTCCTGCCAACAGTCACTCACTAACAGTCAGGTCAGGTCCTGCCAACAGTCACCACTAAGGTCAGGTCCTGCCAACAGTCACTCACTAAGGTCAGGTCCTGCAGTCAACAGTCACTCACCACTAAGGTCAGGTCCTGCCAACAGTCACTCACTAAGGTCAGGTCCTGTCAACAGTCACTCACTAAGGTCAGGTCCTGCCAACAGTCACTCACTAAGGTCAGGTCCTGTCAACAGTCACTCACTAAGCTCAGGTCCTGTCAACAGTCACTCACTAAGGTCAGGTCCTGCCAACAGTCACTCACTAAGGTCAGGTTCTGCCAACAGTCACTCACTAAGGTCAGGTCCTGCCAACAGTCACTCACTAAGGTCAGGTCCTCCCACGACTGAGATAAACAGTCTGTGATCTGTAAGGTTGACTGGACGGTGCGTTCGTGGGCTGCCTCACGATTGACTACATCCATCCCTTCCTCCACCCTTAGCTGACACACACGCAAGGGCCCACTGCCTCTCGAACTGCCCGGAGACTGTAATTGAAAGATAGAGATAGAGTGAGAGGGAGAGAGAGTACAGTTGCAAATCAACACATTCTAAGGGTCTCAGTATACTGAAAGAGAGAGAGCGAGAGAGAAATATGAACTGCTAGAGTTAGCTATATGGCATTGAGAGAGGAATTAATAGATATATATAAAAACAGATAGATAGGAGGTCCCTGACTTATGAATGCCCGTCGATATGAACGAGGTTATTCTTGAAATTTACAGTATTTTATTTACCTGCTGACTTATTTTTTTACCTTCATTAACTGTATTTTGTCATTCTGTTTCTTATTTTTTCTTAAATTAATTGATTTTAGATGTATATAAGGACTTAGGCTATGATATAGTGTGATTTTAAACACTGTTCTGTAAGTACGCTACAGTATGCACATAGTGTGTGTTCAGACTTATGTACAAATACAAGTTAAGAAAGTCCTCAGGAAAGGAACCCGTTCGTAACCCGGGGACCCCCTGTCCTCTGTCTCTTCTAAATTAATTAATGAATTACTGTATATTTATAGCCTAATGATCATTAATGAGAAATCTATTCAATAACTGGCAATTAATAGAATCAATTATTATTTGTGACAACGTACCAGTGGCGAAACGGGGCCAAACGATGCACTAAATCTTCGAACTCTAGGCTGTGTTCCTTGTGTGTCCCCTAGTACTCCTTCTCTGTAACAATAATAACAACAGTAGTACAATAATAACTGTAGTACAACAGTAGCAGTAACAGTAGTAGCAACATTAGTACATGTATCTTCAATAATCGTGGGACCCGATAATCGCTGATCTGGGTTATCATGGTACAGGTTGTACCTCTCTAGTCCGGCAACCTCCGGATCTGACCGGTGCCGGACCATGGAAATTCACCCCCGAATCACTCTACATAAAGCATAAAAACAAAAGATAGGAAATAAATAAATTAGAAAAAGTAATACAGTTAAAATACTATTTAATTTACCTTTAATGCTACCATAATTCTGCTTCCAATGTGAAGTGATGGTTCTGTAACTAAAATTACATTTGCGTTACATCAGGGATGTTGGCTATTGGGCAAACTAAAATCGTTCCGGACCACAGGAGTTTCCGGACCACAGAATGCCGGACTAGAGAGGTACAACCTGTACCTGTATCATCAACTGTCACCATGTGCATGCTTATCACTGATTGATCTGGCTTATCATGGGATAGTGGCGGGATCACTAGAGCAACAGCGGTAACAACTTCTGCCAAAAGATGGCAGCACGGCTTCCAGTGACAGCCTTTGTTTCTCCGCACTGCTTTGGTCGGTGTTTGAAGACCGTTTCCTGCTCCGTGCTTGTTTTTGGTGCAATTTTTGTAACTTTTACTTACCCTCCACCATGACACCTGTGAACGAGAAGAGTGTTAAGGTTCCTGATCCAGCCAAGCGACGAGGACACGTGTATTATCTGGTCGAATGTTCCGATGTTCCCAACAAGGATAATAATCATGAGCTTATCAATACTCCCACTGTGTGTTACCTCTCCCTTCCACTCAACCTTTCTCACTCCATAATTTAAAATTTATATAACATAATGTGGAAGGAATATGACATTGTTCATTTATACTTACACTCAATTTTGTGGGTAGACATCAGCTGCTCACATGTGTCTGGCAAAGCTGCAGCCAGTGTTACCAAACAAACTGACTGATGCCTCATCTCCTCACCACTTAACACAATTCCCCCCTCCACCACCACGATAACCACCATCACCACTACCCCTATTATCACCACCTAAATCATAATTTCGTGATGGAGTTGCTTTAGCCAGAGCAGATTAGCACATTGTCCACTGCACGACATCCCACCCATTTCTTACCTTCCTCCTTCCCTCCCACCCACTGTGTCTCACCAACACTCTGCCTCTCCTTCTACACTGAGTGTCATTCATGATACAATATTGTACAGTAATGTACATTGTTTATTGTTATTCATTAATTAGTAAAGATATGTTACTATTATTATATCTTTTAGTGTACCTACACATTTTTGGGGGTATATTCTGGTCAGTTAGGGGGATGCATCTTTGGGGTCGTGGGACGAAACTCATTTTTTTTTTTTTACAGGAATTAGCCCACCCACACACAGGTCAAACGACCCACAACGGGGCCTGGGGGGGCGAAAAAATAAGAACAGAAAAATATTGAAAATGGAGAAGAAAAAGGTATACAGTATTGTGTTAATCTACACCACGAAGATGCCGGAAAACCAGCTTTTTAAAGTGAGACAGATTGTAATAGTATGGAAACACAGAAGAAAGCAGAGCATTCCACAGTTTGGCTGTGTGAGGAAAGAAGGAGGTACTATAACGGGTTATTCTCGTGTGACCGACATCCACAGAAAAATGGTGAGCACTGCGGGCAAGACGAGTGTTACGAGCCCACGACCTTGCTGACGGTACACAAGATGCCAAATCCACCAAACATTATCCGTTAAAGTATCTCTAAAAGAGAGAGAGTGAAGCAACATTGCGGCAAAGAGAAAGAGAAGAGTCGATAAGATGAAATGCCTTTGATTCCACCCGATCTAACAGTTGGACAGAAGAAGAGCCACCCCAGATATAAGAGCAGTACTCCAAGTAAGGACGAATGAATCCCTTATATACTTGAAGCAACTGCTCAGGAGTGAAGTAGCTACGGTATCTGTACAGCATTCCCAACTTTCGGGAGGCAGCTTTAGCTATATTAAGGATGTGTGATTTCCAGGACATATTGGAGGAAATGGTGAGGCCTAACATATTTATTTCAGAATTTGTTATGTGTTTCAATATACTGTATACTGTTACTGTATACTGTTTTGTTTATCACAGTAGTTTTCTGGAACCTTACCCCCGCGATTATTGAGGATACATGTACAATAATAACAGTAGTAGTACTTGGGAGATCTGAGTCACTCATTTCCTGACCAGACAGGTGGCAGAGAAGGTCCTGTGGCCAACCCTCGCAGACGATACACTTTTTGGTGGTGCTACGGCAGTGTTTGTAGAAGTGTTGATCAGATGAACACTCAGAGCATATGACCCCTTGCAGGGGGCAGTTCTTGGTCATGTGGATCATAGTATTTGTAGCACTTCATACATTGTTGGATGGGTGTATACTTTCATATTCTATTTGGTGTGAGGAGAGAGAAGTGTCATATACATAGAGCCCCTTCTTCACTCTTTTTGCATCCATTGTGTCTGCAAAGCGAACCTTTATTATATTATGGGCACACATGGGTACACCTCCACAACCTTGATATTGTTTTGCTTTTCTATTTCATCTCTTATTTCTTCGGCATTATTTTCCAATACATCTTTGTCCAACTTCTTACATACAAGGGTGAGCTTGGTGCCGTATTCCCTTGGGACAATGACCTCATTTCCGTTAGTTTTCATTGTGTCCGTGGCACCAGACTAAAGTAGTTTATCAGCATCTTCGTCTGTCTCTATGAGGATGATGTAACCATCTCTCAGATCCACAAGTCTATTTATTCTCACCCTTAGGTCACTTAATAGTCTTTATAGCTCTGCTAAACCCTTGCCATTCACGGGTTTACGATGGCTAGCTTGCGAGCCTTTTCCCACAGAGCAACGAGTCGCCCCATGCAGCATCTCGTGTTGTACTTTCAAAACTTTAGTGTTTGTGTGAAATGGCCCCTAAAAGACTGCCTAATGTCAGTGCTAGTGATGCTAGTGGAGTGAATGTAAAAGACAGAAGTCAGTGATGACCTTGACAAGGAAAGTTGAACTATTAAATAAGTTAAAGGAGGGGATGAGTGCTGCCGTGGCTGGTCTGTTGACTGGTATAGGTATACAGTAGTGCACTAAGGTAGTATAAGTTGCTATTCGCGGTTTTGCCTATTCATGCTATTATTTGGCAGCTAATCCCCGCAAATAACATGAGTATTCTGAACAGCTGCTCCCCAACTTACGACGGGGTTAGGGACCCAAATCCAGGTCGTAAGTCGAAATGGTCATAAGTCGAAAATGCTTAAATAATACATAGAAAATCTAAAATGGGTGTCTCTTTTTCTTCTCAGCACCACAAAACTCACTTTTAAGCTTGCCAGCCGTTTTAAAGTGAATCACAAAAAAAAATTTTGTCAGTACACAGCGCAATCACTGACGTTGGGACTCGAAAATACGTAATTTGACAAAATCTTGGTACGACTGAGGTGGTCGTATGTCCGGGTGGTCATAAGTCGAGCAGGAAAATACACACACAAGATTTTTCCTAAGTAATCCCTACTGAAATGGGAGGTGTGTCTTATATGGTCGTGTGTCTGATATGCAATTAAAGTATTTCCCCCAGTCATACGCTCCTACACTCAGTGTGTTGTTTTCTTAAGCCATGCACATAATGTTAAATAGACATAAGATGTGACACGACTGTACCTGCAGTATAGTATACCTGTAGAGTACATGCCAAACCAATTGTAAACTTGACTGATGATTTTACTAAATTATTATTATTATCATTACAGTATTATTATTTTATTATTATTACTGTATTATTATTATTATTATAATTATTTCAGTATTGCATTACTGTAATATTACAATTATTATTATTGCAGTATTGTATTATTGTATTCGTATTATTATTTACAATACATCTGTGGATTTTTCAATTTTCTTGAGTAATAAATTTAAATTAACTTAACCTACCCTTAACATGACCTGAATTAATCTTTGTTAATATGATTCATCCAAATTTAAACTTCCCATAATCTAACTTGAATCGTCACTCTGGGGATGCCACTCTTAATACTTTATCTGGTTACTACCAGATGATTTTATTCAGCTCAGAGAGGAGCCTGTACACAATGGGTAAACTAAACCCAACCCAATGTAACCTAACCCAATGTAATGTAACCTAATCCAATGTAATGGAACCTAACCCAATGTAATCTAACCTAACCTAACCCAACCTAACCTAACCCAACCCAACCCAACCAAACCCAACCCAACCCAACCCAACCCAACCCAACTTAACCTAACCCTACTTAACCTAACCCAACTTAAGCTAACCCAACAAAAAAACCTGACCCAACCCAAACCAACCTTACCTAACCAGACCACACCAAAACAAACCCAACATAACTTAACCTAACCTAACTTAAACTATTCCAACCTAATCTAACTTGACATAGCCTAACTTAAAATAACCTAACCTAACTTGGCATAACATAACAGGACTTAACTTGGCATAACATAACTTAACCTAACTTGGTATAACATAACTAAACCTAACCTAAGCACACCTTGAGGCAGAAGTTAAGGGTGGGTTGGATACAGGACCCTGCAGCACCAATTGGTTAATCATGGGAGCGCTGCTAGACCGCTTCAGCTTGTTGCCACTTGACATAGCTGCTTGACTGCTGGAGTGAGTTGACGACGAACCACCGCCACAACCCTCACTGTCCGACACACTCGCTCCGCTGAGGTCAACATCCATTGTTGATTCTGGCATGAGGTTCCCCTCACCACCCTAGGCTATGGGGGTTGGTACATAGATATATTAGATATATAAATAAGGCAAGGAAGATAATATAGAATGAATAAGGTAATATATATATATATATATATATATATATATATATATATATATATATATATATATATATATATATATATATATATATATATATATATATATATATACTCATTATACTGTATATATAAAGGTATAATTGACTACTACTACATGTACAATATATTGTAAGTAAACAAAATACAGTGTACAGTACAACTACAGTACAGTACAATAAGTTCTTGTTTAAAGTTGCCCCCGACAACGCTGTTTCGTTATAACGTCGCTACTCTTTATATAACCATGATTCGGATAACGTCCCGCCGATTCAGTATGATGTCGTCACAGACTACTTTGTACGGTGCATCACCCTCTCTCATCTTGGTGCGCTACGCTCTCACCCTCGGAGCTTGACAGCGTCCTCAAGCATCGCCAGTCTTTGTTAGGCTTCCACAGCATTCGTGTGTGTTTAAGTGTTTTTGCTCTAAATACTGTACTGTAACCATTCAAAATGTCTTCCACGCACCCATCAAATGCTACTGATGCTAGTGTTGTGAAGAAGCAATGTAAGACCGCTGCAGTTTACTCCATTCTTATGTAAGAGAATATACTGTGCTGTACTAAAGGTACTTTATGTCGTGTGTGGGGAAGGCGTTCATCTGACTTTATGGTGGGAAGCAGTTCTACACGAGACTATTCACATGAGTGCATTAAACAAAACAATAATGAGATTATCAAGCTTAATATTTATTCCCACACCAAATCATAATCCCTATATCACCTAAATATTACATAATTAATATAAATAAACTATATATCAATGTTTACTGATGAAACAATATACAGCATTAGATACAGTTTTGACAACTATTCACATTTCAAATCTATGTCAGTTTCTATTAAATCAACACATGAAATAGACAATAAGCCCACAATCTAACTATATATCAAATTACCTGGCAAAATATGTATTAAAGAATCATTTAATTTACTTACAAGTTATTTACAGCCATTAGAGAGTAAATTAATACCTTATATTTATTACTATTTAGGGATAAACTAGCCTTAGTACCTAATTATTTTAGGGGTTAAGATTAGAAAACCTAAAATACCAAAATTTTAGGTTAAAAAGTGAAATATATTGACAATTTATGTAAATAAATACAAATTATGAAACTTTGTTAAAAATGTCAGGTGTTGCAGACCTCCAAGGAAACATATTGGTCTCAGTTTAGAAATGATTAATGTTTAGATAATAATACCTAACCAGGGTCAACTTACTCAAGTTTCTAAATATAACCTTACAAATACAAAAATAATAATTATTTACGAAATAAAATTAAGATAGCGAATTTATTCAGAGGAAACTCCTTCCTCCTTATGCACTAACTCACTTATTTACGGACATTTTTTGCCATAAAACCATCTTATTTCAACTGGTATAAGAGGTAAAAATTTCATAATCTTTCCATATATTTCCTCAAAATGTGTCCAAAATGGATAACTTAGGAAATAATTAAGAAAAATACGATATTATTCCGATTGCAAGTCGAGTCTGCCAGACCCTAAAGGACATAAGCTTCCCTTACTTTGGGGATTTTAGGGTCTAATTGCCTGATATATAAGGGTGTAATACTGTAAAAATACCTGATTTTACCGAATTTATCCCCCAAAATGGACAAAAATGGACGACTTACGTTAAAATGAAGAAAATTGCCATTATTGACGAGATCAAAGTGTAAACAATAGGTTGGATGTGTTCTAGATTCTGATTAGTCAAGCCGCCAAGCCGCCAGCCAATCAGCGCTCAGCTCTCACTTGACGAAAACATGCTAATGGCCGCTAGACTTCATTTACGGGATCACTAAACAACACCTCTAGGCACAAGGTATTTAAGTGTTTGTGTTTGTATCTTTACATTAAACGTTAATTAATTGTTAATATTGATTTTCGTAAGGGCGGGTAATATTTCCTTTGTAATTCTCCTATTATATGCTACCATCTGTTTATATATAATAAATATATGTATATTGTCTAACATCAAGTGTAAATTCTAAAATAAGAATTTACTAAAAACCTTTAAATCTTAGAATTTAGCCATTTTTTTATAGATGGGATCCCGAATATAAAATCTCTAATAACTGTTTATAAATTTTTCTGATTATTTTTGGAAAAATTTGTAAATCTGAGTACACTACAATATTTACACTTGTCCTACAAGCCCCCCCTTGTCACACTGACCCCACCCCTTGTCACCACATGACCCCCACCCTTGTCACACTATGACCCCACCCCCCTTGTCACTATGTTACCCCTTGTCACTATGACCCCCCACCTTGTCACACTCTATGCCCCCACCCCTTGTCACTACTATTCACCTTGTCACACTATTCACCCCTTGTCACTACAATGACCCCTTGTCACACTGTGTTACCTTGTCACTACTGACCCCACCCCTTGTCCTACAATGACCCCACCCCCTGTGTCACCTGTGACCCCCACCCCCTGTCACCTATGGCCCCCACCCCTGTCACACTACAATGACCCCACCCCTGTCTGTGACCCCCACCCCTTGTCACACTACAGAGCCCCCACCCCCTTGTCACACTACAATGACCCCCACCCCCTTGTCTAATATGGGCATGCAGGGACGTTTGTCAGGCTATACACAGCAAAGGTAACAATAATCTTCTTTTTTTCGTTTTATAAATTAAATATAGTGATGTCATTTAAATTTGTTTGGGAGAAATGAGAGAATGTTAGTTGTTGATAAACCAAGTATATTTACTTGTTACGTGCTAAAAGTGGCGAAGAGCATAAAGTAAAGTTTGCCAGATCAAGAATGGTCCAAGAGATGGCTGCTGAGATTCACAATGTCACGAAGTGTAAGAGGATGAACCTGGAGCGTACCAACGGTAAGGAGGCGTATCATATATCCCAACGGGATGAAGAAACTCCACTATTTGAGACAATGTGAGAAGGACCTACTGTAGGTGTGTATGTTGACAATGAGTTGAAGTTCTCCGGCCATTGCGAGAAGGTAAATCAGGCAAATAAATTATTGGGTCTTATAAGAAGGTCGTTCAGATATCTAAACGGTCCGTCCCTTGTAACGATCTTTAAGAGTGAAGTGCCTCCCCATCTGGAGTACTGTCACCCCGTCTGGTCCCCGAGATATGCTAGGGACTGTCAGTTGGTTGAAAATGTTCAAAGGAGGGCCACCAGACTGGTGCCTGCACTTCGGCACCTCGGCTACCCTGAGTGATTGGAGCGCCTGAACATGCCAAGCTTATACTACAGACGGGCAAGGGGAGACCTAATTGAGGTGTATAAGCATCTCAAGGGGCACTACTCAGTCAAGTGTCCTTACTTGGAGCTGGCGGACGCTCGCCCCACAAGGGGTCACAGCTCAAGATTGAAGAAGCTGCAACTCCAGAAAACTGTGAGGCCAAACTTTTTCGGAGTGAGAGTTGTGAACTCTTGGAACAATCTACAAGAAAGTATTGTAACGGCACCGAGTGTGAGCTCTTTCAAGACCAGACTTGACCAACACTGGAGTAGGTTCAGGTACATTCAGGAGCCGGTGCATGCCCAGAACTTGCGGCTAACGAGCCGATCAGTGGTGAAGAGGATAGAACTTTATCTGTATCTCCTTTATTGATTCCTTTCTCCCACTTAAATACTTCTATTATATCTCCCCGCACTCTTCGTCTTTCTTGCAGTGGCGTAGCTAGAGTGTGTGCCGCCCGGGGCGGCCCTTGAGTTTGCCGCCCCCCCCCCATATTGCACAAAAAATATATATCTATATATATATATATATATATATATATATATATATATATATTAAATAGTTTGTGTACCATTATAATATTACTGTACTTTCACATACTCAAATATAGTATGCTTTAAATACACACCAAACATACTTAAACTTTATAAGTAACAGTTAAACAAAAAGCAAAAACGACATATAGGATAGGGAAAAAAGTAAAAAAGTGTAAAAAATTAGGACCATCTTTATTTCTGAAATGAAAACTACAACTTTCTACAAAGTAACTTTTCTTGTTTTTTTGTTGGCAAATTCTTCAATGACATTGTCAAAAACTATTTCATCTGTCAATTGTCGCTCTATAGACAGTATGGCAAGATTTCTCAACCGCAAGGTGCTCATAGTAGATCTTAAGTAATTCTTGATCAGTTTTAGTTTCGAAAAACTCCTCTCACAGGTAGCAACACTAACAGCAATTGTGAGGAAAATCCTCAGCATTATTACTATATTTGGAACCGAGTTCCCAAGGTTATACTTTTGAATAAACTGCAAAAGTTCAAGGGGGCCTTCTTTCCACGTCTGTATTCTGTCTTTAATAGTTATAGCAGCAACAAAATGCTGAAGTCTTTTTCTCTCAACGAGGAACTCCTCTTTATCAATGTCGTCGTGATCGTGATCTATTTGACACTCATATTTATCATCCAAAAGATTCAATGGGGTAAGGAAGGCATATTTCTCAGCAAGTTCATGAAGCTGTTGAAATCTCAAAGTCATTTCTTGGATCACTCTGTCCAGCGAAGAAAACATTTCTCTCCTCAATTCAATGTCGTATGGCAATTCAGCATCTCGTGATCCTTCACTTTTGGGGGGCGGCACTTTTGGGTCTGCTCATCACCCATATCTGCAGCTACTGGAGACGTTAATCCTTCCCTTTGTATCGGCGGCAAGTTAATCCTCGTCGTGTCTGACCTAACACCTGACCCACACCACATGAGCTCAATGGCGTACTTGTTTGAAGTTGTTTCCTTAATCCTCAACAGGTTACAGGTTGTGTGTGTGTGTGGGGAGGGGGGGGCGCATAGCAAGGGTGTAGCTCATGACGTGGCCGTGATGATGTGGGTCAGGTGTTAGGTCAGACACGACAAGGATTAACTTGCCGCCGATACAAAGGGATGGATTAACGTCTCCAGTAGCTGCAGATATGGGTGATGAGCAGACCCAAAAGTGCCGCCCCCCAAAAGTGCTGCCCGGGGCGGACCGCACCCCTCTAGCTACGCTAGTGCTTTCTTGGGAATGCAAGTTTAGTTTTTTTAATCTATCTTGATATGGAAGGTTTCGAAGTCCCAGAATCATTTTCGTCATTCTTCGCTGCATCGACTCCAGTGAATTGATATCCATTCTATAATAAGGGCACCAGAACTGAACAGCATAATCGAGGTGCGACCTGACTAGCGCAAGATATAGTTGCATTATGACCTCAACTCTCTTATTACTTATACTTCTATATATATAAAACCCAATACTCTGTTTGCCATATTTCGAACATTAACGCAGTGTTTTCTAGGCCGTAGGTCCGGGCTTACAAGTACCCCAAAGTCTCTTTCACAAGTCGACTTCTCTAGGTTGATGCTGTTAAGGCTGTATACATTGACAGTATTTGTTCTTTCAATATTAAGTACGCTGCACTTGCTGGTGTTGAAAATCATTTGCCATTTTTCTGACCACTCCTGCATTTTTTTTAAATCCTCCTGTAGTGCATTTGCATCCTGCCCTTAATTAATTTGCCGCCCTATTTTGGTGTCATCTGCAAACTTGCTTAGGTCAATGCTGATCCCAGTATCTAGATCGTTTAGTACATTATGAACAAAAGTGGGCCCAGTACTGATCCCTGGGGAACCCCACTGGTTACACAGCCCCACTCAGATTTAACACCATCTACGCTGACCCTCTGTGTTCTATCGGTGAGCCGTGATTTTATCCAATTTAAAACTTTCCCCTCGATACCATGAGCCTTAACTTTTCTGAGAAGCCTCTGATGCGGTACTCTGTCAAACGCTTTGCTAAAGTCTAAGTAAATAACATCGTAATTCTCGTCATTACCTACTACCTCGAAGACTTTCCTAAAAAACGTCAGCAGATTTATTAGAAAATTTTTTCCCTTTGTAAATCCATGTTGAGAGTCGTAGATTAATTTCTTTTTCTCTAAATGCGATCGGATGCTATTTGCTACAATTGATTCAAGAAATTTCCCTACTACTGACGCCACCCATGTTAGGTTATTATTATAGTCGGCTACGATGAATTAATTCCAAATAAGCTTTATTAGATGTAGTTACGTTTGGTTATGAAAAGTTACTTCCAAATATTGGGAAACTAATATTAGGTCAATTAAGTTAACAATTAGTCTGCTCGAATTCTTATCCGTCAAAAGGCTGTTTTTCGGTCGCAGTTCCCGGAAAATGGTGTTTCAGGAATGTGCGTTTTGAGGCCCAAAAGCCATACAGAGAAATGTAACAAATTGCAACAAATTTAGCATTGATGCAAGTTACAGAAATTTTGCAAGTTGAAATGTTGCAATGTACTGTACGCAGTTAAAACTGTATTAAAAATATCTGTTTTATGGGACCATTAATGTAACAATATATGTAAAACAAAGAATAAGATTAGGATTTCTAAGACAATCAATTTGCACTTCAAATAAGTGTTAGCCTAACTTACCTAATATTGCAACATTTCTGCAACTTGCACCATTTTTTACAAATTACAAAACATTGTAATTATTATTACTTATTTTTATAGTTTTAAAATTAAATTTAATATTTATTAAAATATTTTCACAACCGAAATATTAGTAATTAAAATTGTTTTCGTAAAATTTAAAGTGTTTTTTTCTGGTAAATTTTAATATATTTTGTAGAATTTGGTTTTTAATATATAACAGAATGGATATAGAATCATTGGAAAGAATCCAGAGGAGAATGACAAGACTAATCCCGGGCATTAGGAACCTTGAATACAGAGACAGGTTAAAGCATCTTAATTTGCACTCCCTCGAGAGACGTAGAGTGAGGGGCGACATGATAGAGGTGTATAAATGGAACTCAGGGTTAAACAAAGGGGACATTACAAAGGTACTCAAACTATCCAACCAGGAGCGAACTCGTAACAATGGTTTTAAATTAGACAAATTTAGATTTCGGAGTGAAATAGGTAAACACTGGTTTGGAAACAGAGTAGTGGATGAATGGAACAAGTTACCAAATATCATCATTAACTCAATACGCTGGATAGCTTCAAACATAGGTTGGGTGGATATATGAGCAATAGGGGTTGGGTATAAACGGGACTGCCCAGTATGGGCCAATAGGCCCGCTGCAATTTCCTCCATTCTTATGTTCTTATATATATATATATATATATATATATATATATATATATATATATATATTAGAGATTAATTAGATATTGATTTTATTGTGAATATTTATAATGATTAAGGAGTAAGCTGAATCGGGAATCTATTTGTTAAGGTTTATTCTTATTAAAATTTTTAGTTGAAAAGATTCATAAAAATTACTTTGTGTCGTTAATTTAGTGAGAAATAAGGTTACGTATGGCAGAAAATAGAACCACATATTTTTGCGGACAGATATATTATTCAATATTTAATTTATTACAAGTATATTAGGCGATAAATTATAAATAAATAGAGCTAGTCGTATAATGTTATATTACGTAGTTGTTTGTTTAAATGTTATTATTAGTTATATCTGGGAAAGCGAACTCAGTACAATCAATATGGCGGCTTCAGGCCATGTTGCTCAAAGTTCACTGTACGAAATGCTCTTCACACTCATATTAACCCTTTCAGAGAAGCTATTTGAGATCTTGAATATGAATGGTTAAATTTGTGAAACCAAACTAAACCGAGAAATACGATTGGTTGAAGAAGAATATGACAGCCAGTAGAACTGCACGTTAGTGAGGATGACGTAGGAAGAGCAAATATATAAGAAAGAAGGTGATTGGTGTAGTTGATGAAAACAAACCAAATACTGGATTGTGATTGGTTAACAGCTGTAAATTCCTGAGCAACTATCCAATAGAAAGAAGTGTTACATGGGTTAGATACCAGGGTGTGAGTATTACCTCAACTAGAGTGTAAAATCGCATCAGCTCGAAGGGGAGAGGAGCGAGTTACCATTTCAAGAAAGAAACTCCGACGAATATGGCGTATTTCTCTCCCGTGTGAGTGAATTAAGGTATAAAGAACAAGAAAATGGCGGCAAGGATTTTCCAGGAGGTTGTAAGTGGCGGTAGGGAGGACAGAAGACGAGAAATAAGCCGAAATAAACCACTCACGGGGAAATGGAGGCCAAGAGACACACCTTTACCATCTAAAATCCACAAGAGAGTCTCAAAACCTCCAGTTCATCCACATCTTCTGGAATTTTTCGGCTGAGGTGAGTACAAAGACGTTATTTAACCCTTGTTTGGTAATTACATCCTCCAGAAGCTTAGTCTACGTAAACTTGATTTAGGGCTCTATTAGGTAGTGTATGCTGTGCTTTGTTAAAACATTTCCTTTTCTAGAAAAACTTTATTCGAACTTCTAACTTACGTAGTAGTCTGTATAAACCTCACTAAACCCTCTTATGGACTAACTGACCTGATGTTACCTTCTAAACCGAAATTATACATGTATTTTTGTCTTAAAAGGTTAATTCTTTGTTTAAAATGTAGTTTTGTGTATCACGGAGTTTTGCTAAAGCCACAGTTTTCATAAAACATTAACTGAAGCCTCGGTATAATTACTCATTGACTAAAGCCTTAGTATAATTACGCCCATGAGAACATTAACTATAGCCGCAGTATAATACTCCCACAAGAACATTGACTAAAGCCTCAGTATAATTACGCCCATGAGAACATTAACTATAGCCGCAGTATAATACTCCCACAAGAACATTGACTAAAGCCTCAGTATAATTACGCCCATGAGTACATTAACTATAGCCTCAGTATAATACTCCCACAAGAACATTGACTAAAGCCTCAGTATAATTACGCCCATGAGAACATTAACTATAGCCTCAGTATAATACTCCCACAAGAACATTGACTAAAGCCTCAGTATAATACTCCCACAAGAACATTGACTAAAGTCCCAGTATAATTACGCCCATGAGAACATTAACTATAGCCTCAGTATAATTACGCCCATGAGAACATTAACTATAGCCTCAGTATAGTACTCCCACAAGAACCTTGACTAAAGCCTCAGTATAATTACGCCCATGAGAACATTAACTGTAGCCTCAGTATAATACTCCCACAAGAACATTGACTAAAGCCTCAGTATAATTACTCCCACAAGAACATTAACTTAACTAAATAACTTGCATAGTGGATATTTGGCCGTGAGCGGCTCAGTTCCTACTAATGCTATTGTACCGTGAGTGCCCCCTGATTGACTAAGTACTTTCACTTTAATACAACGGGACCCCTGGCTAGGAGGTTAGGTTAGGTATGTCTGTGGTTAGTTAGGTCAGGTTCTAATAAATGTCACCTCTTATAATATCTGGAAAAAATTACCTAAATCAAACCACGCGGTAAAATCCAAATGCCGCTAAAGTCACGGTCGCATATTGTTCTCGCGTTGTTCCCCGATAATGGACGATTAGCCAATCGGAGCGCACTTGAGGTAAAATAGGACGAGTAGGAACTTGGCCGGCCATGGCAAAATGTTCACTGCCAAGAAAATAACTTAATCGTACCGTGTAATGTAATGCTATACTGACCATGCTATTTCTCTCTCAGGCTCAGAAGTTTGTTAGATTAGGTTACTGTTGAGCTGGGGTGGAGAGTGTCAAGATGGAGTATAGTGAATGTATACCTTCTGGACTTTGGTCTTTAATGAACTAATCTATTCAAGGGGTTCATTAATAGTGGTTGATAATGTCTGCAAGAATGTTGCCCCTGTATAAACCTGAACTAGTCGGGTTTTATTATTGCCTTTAGACGTTGAATTACATGATATAAACCATGATTATACCTCTAAGGATAGCCTGTATAAATGTTAACTAAAGGCTTATTTAATTAATCCCATAAGAAGCTTAATTCATCTCGAAGTTACTTTATAGCCTGTAAAACCTTCCATATGGTAGAAGGTTTGTTAGATAGGTTCGGTTCTTTACATTTTACTTTGGAGCGTAGATTTTCTTAACACGGTCAGGTATTTAAGTATACTTGTAGCCGAGAGTGTGTGTATGTGCGGGAGCTTGAGGGAGCGAGCGAGTGTTTTAGGGAAGGAGCGAGTGTTTGAGGCAGGGAGTGAGTGAGTGTTTATGTGTTGGAGGGAGCGAGCGAGCAAGTGTTTGAGGGAGGGAAAGAGCGAGCTAGCTAGTGTTTGAGGGAGGGAGTGAGTGAGCTAGTGTTTGAGGGAGGGGGGGAGCGTGCGAGTGATTGAAGTTTTGAAGGAGGGAGGGAGTGAGTGAGGGAGCGAGCTAGTGTTTGAGGGAGGGAGGGAGGGAGTGAGCGAGCGAGCGAGCTAGTGAGCTAGTGTTTGAGGGAATGAGTGAGCGAGCTAGTGTTTGAGGGTGAGTGAGTGGCGAGCTAGTGTTTGAGGGAGGGAGCGAGTGAGCTTGTGTTTGAGGGAGGTGAGTGAGCAGAGCTTGTGTTTGATGGAGGGGCGAGCAAGCTAGTGTTTGAGGTGGAGTGAGCTAATGTTTGAGACCTGAGCTAATGCTTGAGGAGGGAGGTGGCCGAGTGAGCTAGTGTTTGAGGGAGGAGTGAGCGAGGCTGCTAGCTAGCTAGCGTTTGAGGGAGTGAGTGAGCTAGTGTTTGAGGGAGGGAGTGAGTGAGTGAGCGAGCGAGCTAGTGTTTGAGGGAGGGAGGGAGTGAGTGAGCTAGTGTTTGAGATAGAGAGTGAGTGAGCTAGTGTTTGAGGGAAGGGAGGGAGCGAGCGAGTGAGCTAGTGTTTGAGGGAGGGAGCGAGTGAGCGAGCTAGTGTTTGAGGGAGGGAGCGAGTGAGCTAGTGTTTGAGGGAGGAAGGGAGTGAGCGACTAAGCTAGTGTTTGAGGCAGTTTGAGATTTACCAGCCTATTTACGTGCAAATGTTTTATACACGGTATTGTCTGTGTTTTAAGTTATTATGATCATTTACAGTACATAAACCATTCCCCATTTACAAGATTATTTACTCAAAACTCTGAAAGTGTAAAAAAAAAACCCACCAGTACCAGACGAATTACTTTAAAAACTGTACCTTAAGGACTGGAGACCATATATAGTTAAAACTAGTATAGGACTCAAATCCTTGATACGATGTGTAAATATTAACTTCACTCTGTTATTGGCTATTAAAGAATGAATTTATTCTATGAGGCCATTAAGTACCCAAGACCCTATAGTAACAATATCCTTCAGGGTATGATTAGTCATGTATGATTAGAATAAACTGGGTATTTAAGATGCGCTGTTCATTATGTAAATAATGACTTGGTTAAGCTCGTAAAGGCGTTTTATTTTATTCCGGTAAGACTCGAAATACTCTTGACCTCTCGGTAAGAGTTTCTGTTGGGGTGTGAGAAGTAACTAGTGTACAGATTGAATCTTTGTAAAAAATACTGTACGGACAGTGTAAATAATGATGGCTTTGTCTGTAAATCTGTGAAAATGTTTCATGCAAGGTTTTTAAGTACCCAAGACCCCATAGTTAGAATTTCTAATAGGGTTGGAAAGTTAAAATACTGATATAACTGAAGTTTATCATTTTCATTGGTTTTAGGATATTAATATTAGTTAATGCATTAACTTGTAAAGATTTGTTTGGTAAAATATTGTATGATCCTAGAGTAAACACAATTTAATTTGGGTGTTGGGTTAGTTATTTAGTGCCCTTTTTTAATTTTTGTTCATATCGGTGATTTAACATTTTTTTTCTTCTGATCCCTTAGTAAATATTTTATCAGGCTATAGGGAAAAAAAAGGTACATTTTATTTTTATCGATTTAATTGGCGTTATTCCTCCCTCGTAATATATGTCAAAACCCAAAGTATAATTCCTTTTATTTTCTGAGGCTTATAATAAGAACGTCTTTTGGGATCCATTAGTGTAAACATAATTATGATTTCTTCAACCCCATACCATAGCTAATTAAGTTTTCTAATAGTGTTTTATTGAAAATGTCAAAACGTGAAATTATTTATTTTTTCTCTTCCTTTCAGGCCTTGTGCGATGAAGCGTTTGTTTGGACACTGAGGACATCGAGATGGACCGCAAAGGTGTACATGTCAAAACATGGCAACGGAATATGAAATTATAGGAGCACGAGGTAATTATTGTTTACAATATTTACATTCATAATTTGTTGAAATATAAAGATTATTTTTTCTTCAATAGTATGTCTACAGTATTTCTATTTATAGAAATGGGCCCCAATTCTATTAGACCCCAGTCTTAAGAGGTCCCAATTTTAATACTCCAATCTAATTGACCATAGTTTTAATAGGCCCCAGTCCAGAGACCCCACAGCTAGACCCCTGTGCTAATAGACCCCAGTCCTGATAGACCCAATAGAATATAGTGTATATTAATCTATTATAGGTGTTAAATCATTAAACGAAAATTTTTGTGTTCACAACAGCGTGATCCACCGAGGAACTGTTTCATGGAGCTGCCTTAGCAAAGTGGTGAGTACAGTACAGTATGCTATATACACATTTTATTTTTATTGTTTTTGAGAAAAACTAAATTTTGATTGTACAGTATTTAGTTTTTGTCGAGAAAAAAACCCCAGGTAATTATTGACGACTTTCCCGCTGCTGATTTGTCCGAGAAAACATTTAAAAATGCCACAATTTCATTGTATTTTATAGTGGAGACTGTCATAGTTATGGTAACTGTGGTAAAAAACTTCATTTAAAAATTCAACTTGACCTTAACCTAACCTTAACCTAGCTTTAACCTGCCTTAGCATAGCTTTAACCTAACCCCCCAAAATTATTTATCATGTCAGAACTCATTGACAAAAATACAGGGTGTCCCAAAAAAATTTGCTCACTCTTTGACTGCCCATTACTCGTATATTTTTTGTTTCAGGTGCGACTAACCCTAAATACTGTTATTTTCTTTAATTTAATTCATTAGACTTGTATCTGTCAATAAACACCTAAATCAAAACAAAAAATATATGAGTAATGGGCAGTCAAAGAGTGAGCACATTTTTTTGGGACACCCTGTATAATGAGAATGTAAACATCAAAGAATAACGCGTCGGCGGGATAGTCGTCAGTATAAGCCCCCCAATATGTAAAATTGAATGTTAAATGATGTTTTGCAAGGAAATTTGGATATGAAATGAAAGCAAAAATATTGGGCAATTAATTACATGTATCAGGGAAAATTTATTATTTCCATGCCAGTTTTGATCCAACTGAAATTGTTTGAAGTTTAAGTTTTATTATTTTGAAGATAAGAAAGTGGTTATAATGAATAAAAATTTATTTTTGTTCCTGTCAATGAAAAATTTCCAATTTTGTATTTCATCATTTTTTTTTTTAGTTTAAACTTATATGGAAAAACTTTACGTTAATGCTTTGTGACCGGTGGTCCTTTCTGCTGACTAAGTGTACAATTGTCTGGTGTTGTCCAAGAAATATACTGTACAAAAAGTGGCGTCCAGTAGAGAAGGTGATCAGTTGGTTACGTACACTGTACTGTACAACGTATTTATGTACAGCACAGTGCTGAAATATGTGGCTTCATGACCCAGATATTATAGGCCCCAGTTCTAATGGGCTCCAATTCTTATAGGTCCCAGTTCTAATAGACCCCAGTTCTAATAGACCTCAGTTCTAATAGACCTCAGTTCTAATAGACCTCTTCTAATGGGCCCCATTTCTAACGGGCCCCATTTCTAACAGGCCCCAGTTGTAACAGGCCCCAGATCTGATAGGCCCTCTATTTGACAGGTCCCAGTTCTAACAGACCCCAGTTCTAATAGGCCCCAGTTCTGATAGACCACAGATCTAATAGGCCCCAGTTGTAACAGGCCCCAGATCTGCTAGGCCCCAGTTCTAATAGGCCCCAATTCTGATAGACCACAGATCTAATAGGCCCCAGATATGATAGGCCCCAGTTCTAATAGGCCCCAGTTCTAATAGGCCCCAGTTCTAACAGACCCCAGTTCTAACAGACCCCAGTTCTGATAGACCACAGATCTAATAGGCCCCAGATATGATAGGCCCCAGATCTAATAAGCCCCAGTTCTAACAGACCCCAGTTCTAATAAGCCCTAGATCTGACAGGCCCCAGTTCTGATAGACCACAGATCTAATAGGCCCCAGTTCGAATGGGCCCCAGATCTAATAGGCCCCAGTTTTAATAGTCCCTCCCATTTGAAGGACACATTCCTTACTTCCACCCATTTGAAGGACACATTCCTTACTTCCACCCATTTGAAGGACACGTTCCTTACTTCCACCCATTTGAAGGACACATTCCTTAATTTCTTCCATTTGAAGGACACATTCCTTACTTCCTCCCATTTGAAGGACACATTCCTTACTTCCACCCATTTGAAGGACACATTCCTTACTTCCACCCATTTGAAGGACACATTCCTTACTTCCACCCATTTGAAGGACACATTCCTTAATTTCTTCCATTTCAAGGACACATTCCTTACCTCCTCCCATTTGAAGGACACATTCCTTACTTCCACCCATTTGAAGGACACATTCCTTACTTCCACCCATTTGAAGGACACATTCCTTAATTTCTTCCATTTCAAGGACACATTCCTTACTTCCTCCCATTTGAAGGACACATTCCTTACTTCCTCCCATTTGAAGGACACATTCCTTACTTCCTCCCATTTGAAGGACACATTCCTTACTTCCACCCATTTGAAGGACACATTCCTTACTTCCTCCCATTTGAAGGACACATTCCTTACTTCCACCCATTTGAAGGACACATTCCTTACTTCCTCCCATTTGAAGGACACATTCCTTACCTCCTCCCATTTGAAGGACACATTTACTTCCACCCATTTGAAGGACACATTCCTTACTTCCACCCATTTGAAGGACACATTCCTTACTTCCACCCATTTGAAGGACACATTCCTTAATTTCTTCCATTTGAAGGACACATTCCTTACTTCCACCCATATGAAGGACACATTCCTTACTTCCTCCCATTTGAAGGACACGTTCCTTACTTCCTCCCATTTGAAGGACACATTCCTTAATTTCTCCCATTTGAAGGACACATTCCTTAATTTCTCCCATTTGAAGGACACATTCCTTAATTTCTCCCATTTGAAGGACACTCGCCCTTTGGAAAACACCCTCTCATTTAAAGGGAAGAAGGGATTGTGTCCAATAATGGGAGGGAGCTCTTCAAAGGAGGGAAGCAGGGGGCCCTAATATTAGGAGGGTGGAAATGAGCCCTTCAATGGGAGTGAGGGTAGGTGCCCTTCAAATGGAGGGAAGGAGAAGGACCTTAAAGAAGGAAGGATGGTGTCCTACAAGGGAGTAAGGGAGGGTGGGTATCCTACAAAGGGAGGGTGTCCTATAAAAGGAGGAAGAGTATCCTACAATGGGAGGGAGGGAGGGAAGGAGGGCCTTCAACAATGGGAGGGAGGGTGTCCGATAAGGGCGCCCTCCCTCCCATTGTAGAACACCCTCCCTTACTCCTTTGTAGGACACCCTCCCTTACTCCTTTGTAGGACACCCTCCCTTACTCCCTTGTAGGACACCCTCCCTTTCACCCTTTGTAGGACACCCTCCCTTTCTCCCTTTGTAGGACACCCTCCCATACTCCCTTTGTAGGACACCCTCCCTTACCTCCTTTGTAGGACGCCCTCTCTTACTCCCTTTGTGGGACACCCTCCCTTTTGGGGACACCCTCCCTTACTCCTTTGTGGGACTTACTCCCTTGTGGGACACCCTCCTACATCCTCCTAACCTCCTTTGTGGACACCCTCCCTAACACCTTCCCTTCCTTTGTAGGACACCCTCCCAACCTCCCTTTGTAGGACACCTCCTAACACTCCCTTTGGGACACCCTCCCTAACCTCCCTTTGTGGACACCCTCCCTAACCTCCCTTTGTAGGACACCCTCCTCCTTTGTAGGACCCTCCCTAACCTCCCTTTGTAGGACACCCTCCCAGCCTCCTTTGTAGGACACCTCCCTAACACTCCTTTTGTAGGACACCCTCCCCTAACCTCCCTTTGTAACTCCTCACCCTCCCTAACCTCCTTTTGACACCCTCCCTAACCTCCTTTTTTTCTAGGGACACCCTCCTTTTTTGGGACACCCTCCCCTCCCTCAACACTCCCTTTGTAGGACACCCTCCCTAACCTCCCTTTGTAGGACACCCTCCCTAACCTCCCTTTGTAGGGACACCCTCCTAACCTCCCCTTTGTAGGACACCCTCCCTAACCTCCTTTGTGGGACACCCTCCCCTAACCTCCTTTGTGGGACACCCTCCCTAACCTCTTTTAGGGGGACACCCTCCCTAACCTCTCTTTGTGGGGTTACCCTCTAACCTCTCTTTGTGACACCCTCCCTAACCTCTTTTTCCCTAACCTCCCTTTGGGACACCCTCCCTAACCTCTCCTTTGTGGGACACCCTCCCTAACCTCCTTTGTGTGGACACCCTCCCTAACCTCCCTTTGTGGGACACCCTCCCTCTCCCTGTGGGACCCCACTCCCTGTCATTGTAGGACACCTCACTCACCTTTTCAGGAATCCCTCCATCCCTCCCTTTGTAGACACCTCCCTTACTCCTTTGTGGGACACTCTCCCTCCCTTTGTTGGGACACCCTCCCCTCCCATTGTAGACACCCTCACTCTCTCACCCCTTTTCAGAATCCTCCATCCCCCTCCCCTCCTTCAGTGGACACCCTCCCTCCTTTTGTCCTCCCTCCCCACCCTCCTCCCCCCTCCCTTGCAGAACACCTCTCCCTCCCTTTGCAGAAACACCCCTCCCTCCCTCCCTTTGCACCCACCCTCCCTCCCTTGCAGAACACCCTCCCCTCCCTTTGCACTCCCTCCCTCCCCTGCAGAACACCTCCCTCCCTCCCCTTTGCAGAACTGCCCTCCCTCCCTCCCTTTGCAGAACCTCCCTCCCTCCCTGTGCAGAACACCCTCCCTCAACTCCCTTCCCTTTGCAGAACACCTCCTCCTCCCTTTGCAGAACACCTCCTCCCTCCCTCACTCCTTGCAGAACACCCTCCCTCCCTCCCTTTGCAGAACACCCTCCTCCCTCCTTTGCAGAACACCCTCCCTCCCTCCTTTGCAGAACACCCTCCCTCCCTCCCTTTGCAGAACACCCTCCCTCCCTCCCTTTGCAAACCCCTCCCTCCTCCCTTTGCCAGAACACCCTCCCTCCTCCCTTGCCAACCCTCCCTCCCTTTGCCAACACCCTCCCTCCTTTGCCGAACACCCTCCCTCCTTTGCCAACACCCTCCCTCCCTTTGCCGAACACCTCCCCTTTGCCGAACACCTCCCTGGCGAACACCCTCTCTCCCTTTGCCAGAACACCCTCCCTCCCTTTGCCCTCCCTTCCTCCCTTTGCAGGAACCCTCCTCCCTCCGTTGCAGACACACCCTCCCTCCCCTCCTTGCAGGACACACCCTCCCCTCCCTCCCGTTGCAGGACACACCCTCCCCTCCCTCCCTTGCAGGACACACCCTCCCTCCCTCCCGTTGCAGGACACACCCTCCCTCCCCTCCCGTTGCAGGACCCCCCTCCCTCCCTCAGGACACGTTGCAGGACACACCCTCCTCCCCCTTGCCACACTCCCTCCCCTCCCGTTGCAGGACACACCCTCCCTCCTCCTCCCTCCCTCCCGGTGCAGGAACACACCCTCCCATTTGCAGAACACCCTCTCTCCCTCTCCTTTGCCTTTCCTGCAGAACACCTCCCTCCCCTCACACCCTCCTTTGCAGGACACCCTCCCCCCCTTGCAGGACGCCTCCTCCCCTTCACGTGAGGGCACACTCCTCCTCCCCCTTCGTGAAGGGCACCTCCCTCCTTCACGTGAAGGCACTCCCTCCCCTCCCTTCACGAAGGGGCACACTCCCTCCTCCCTTCGTGAAGACACTCCTCCTCCCTTCCTCCCCTCACGTGAAGGCACACTCCTCCCTCCCCTTCACGTGAAGGGCACACTCCCTCCTCCCTTCACGTGAAGGGGCCACCTCCCTCCTCCCCTTCGTGGAAGGGGCACCTCCCCTCCCTCCCCTTCACGTGAAGGGCACACTCCCTCCCCTTCACGTGAAGGGCACACTCCCTTCCTCCCCTTCACGTGAAGGGCACACTCCCTTCCTCCCCTTCACGTGAAGGGCACACTCCCTTCCTCCCCTTCACGTGAAGGGCACACTCCCTTCCTCCCCTTCACGTGAAGGGCACACTCCCTTCCTCCCCTTCACGTGAAGGGCACACTCCCTTCCTCCCCTTCACGTGAAGGGCACACTCCCTTCCTCCCCTTCACGTGAAGGGCACAACCCCCCCTCTATACATAGCTGTACAACATTTATCAATATTAAATCTATCTAATTTCCTTTGTGTTTATCTACAGTACAGTATATATATATGTTTACTTAACAGTGTTGAATACATCTTACCTTATCTCTATCTTCAAAATGTATTTATATATCTATCTACAGTACAGTGTATGGTCGCTTTAACGGTGCTATTTCTCGGACGAAATAATTACTTATGCTCAAAAGGACCTTTTTTTCTTATATTATCAAGTGTTGTAATTCTAGTTGTGACGATGGAAAATTCTCCCAGGCTAAATACTTTTACTGCCCCCCCCTCCACCCCTCTTCAACCTGGTGATTTGACTAGGATTGGAAAGTTCTCCTTAGTTATTTACCATGGTACCCTAGAGGTGGTGCTTTGACTAGGGTGTAGCTTTAATTATTGATGGAAAATTTCTGGCATCGATTTCTTCCCTGGTTACCATGGAATTGATTTCATTCGGGTCTGGTTTACACTGATGTTGAAAAGGTACATTTATATGTGTAACTGTATAGTGCTTTACATGTCTATCAATGTTGGTCTGCATCTGTCAATCTCTTGTTTTTATATGGAGATTTTGATATATCTGCATTTAATAGGCTTTATATTCGAGTTATATTGAGGCTTTAAGGTCATAAATGTCTTGAAATGGGGCATTTTTCATAATTGTAATGTTCTTAGGTAATTAACTTTAAATGACCCTTAGATTTAAGGTTCACAAATAAATGGCTTGAGGTTAGGGTCATTTTTGTTAAAAATTGTCATAAAATATCCTTTTAAAATAAAGGGTATTAACCATAAATGTCTCTAAGAATTACTCATAAATGACTAATTGAGGCTATTTTGGTGAACAAATCTCATAAATGGCCCTTGGAGACTTAAAACCTTCAAAGGTCATTTATGGCTTTGTGGTTTATTAATAAAGGCCTTTTTTTATTTACAGGTTGAGATGACAGCTGATCCAAAGGTCATATTAATCTTACACTACTGTACAGTACAGTACTAGGAAAGGTAATGATCAATTAGTCAGATAAATTTGTTGGCTATGTTGTGGTGTTAATTAGGGACCATATGAGCTGTGAAATGGCCATAAGTGTTTTAAAGTGCCCTCTCCAATACCATGGTTCCCAATTCACCCAAAATGGCTTAGGTAGGTTGTAGTGAAGGATGATCTGTTCAACATTGATTGATGGGGACCATTTTAAGGAACTTTGAAGGCCATTTAAGGCATACGAGTCATTTTAAGGGACTGGGGCCAATTTAGATGACATTGAGGGACATTTCCAAGGGAAGATTTTGTTCTATGGTTTAGCATAATCCAATTGGTCATTAGAAGGTGTCTTATATGACTTTATGAACAGCTTGGGTGACAGTTAATGGCCCTTAGGAACTTCACTACTCCATTTAAATGACAGAATAGTGACCTTAGAAGCAGGAAATGACCATGAGCTGTCATAGAAATGCCTGTAAGTGGCTCTTTTGGTCAAGTACTGTAGAAAAGACTTGAATGACCTTTTGGTACACCTTTACTGTACTGCATTTTAAGTAGAAATAAATTCAGATGAGTGTAAATGGCTTATATAAGTAATTTGGGTAACTTTGAAAGCCACCTAGAAGCCATTTATGTGAGGTAAGCTACATACAGAGTAATTGCCCTCATTTGATGTCTACTCAAGACATTACAGGAGTCTAAATGGCCTATGTAAACTATATGTATGTGAGCTAAATCTCGTATAGGCAATTGGTGCACCAACTAAAGGCCCAATTTAACATGTTGTTAGGCTATATATGTGATAAATTACCACCTGCAAGTCATGCATATGTGACTGAAGGTCTCTCTAAGTCATATATGTGCTACAATGTTACTAACTTATGTGACTGAGGGCCTTTGGAAGTGGAATTTGGTTACATGAATTACATCACAAACAGTACATTGAAAAGGGTGTAATTCGACATGTAATTAATGTATAAAGTATGTGGTTAATTGCTTCATATAGTATAGTATAGTATTAATTTACTATACCGTTTTAGTAGTGTAAAAATAAGTATACTTTACTAATAAAGTATTTAAATAATAATTGTATCATTTTTCTAGTTAACATTTGTGTTTTTATTTTAATATTATTTTTAACAAGGTAAGTTTATTTAATTTTTGGGACTGAAATTTACTTTAATTGTAAGGAAGAATTATTTGTTCTTGGATTAACAAGTCCTGCATTATTTATTTTAATATAATTGGACAGTGAGGTGGGTTACATACTATTAAGTACTAATTAATTGACGTCTTATTCATATTTCATTCACAAGGTTAAAGATTAATAATTTATTTTAATATTTTTATAGTTATTCCAGAGTTTTTAAAACACTAGAAGCGAGGTTTTAACAAATTTATTTATATGTATAATTGTACCAAGAAAGGTTATTTAACTTTAATTAACACATACTACTCGATATGTTTGTTTTTAAAGCCAAAATTGAGTAAATATTGAGCTTTCTCAATTTTGGCCCTGATTATTGTAGGGCTATTAATTGAGGTTTTAAAATAAGATTTTTAAATTTTGGCGCGCATGGCGTCACTAGCTGAGGCTTGTGGGTAGTCTAGTATCAATATGGCTGACGGGACTTAACCTCCAGCCCGTGTCAGTAACGTCCAGATATATCGTGAATTTTCTAAGTCATCCGTCTATATATATGTGTAAGGGTGATATCAAGTACTAATTAAATCCCCTGTGGTGGTTAGTCGTTGTTAATAACGAGGAACTGTTCGTGAAATGAGGAGAAAATAACAAAAATAACGAAGTGATTTGAGACGTAGTGACGAGACCGGGGAGGATAAGATGGCCGACCGGCAGCCATCTTTGATTCTCACGTATTTCATCACCTACAGCGTCTATTATCATCTCCTCTACACAATAAACTGAAAACTAGATAAACTAAAGGAGAATTAAAGCAAAAATAACTGTAATAACCCAGTGAGAAGCGAGAGATAGGGTATATACAAGAAGAGAGAAGAGGCGTCACCGGCTCGACATGCATCGGGTTTGTTTACCTTAATCAGCTGTTACTTGTTTACATATGACCACATGCTGCCCAGTCCCTATATTTTTGACATTTTAGGGGGATTTAAAGACGTTTTAGGGAATTTATACACCTTTAACTATGTCCATTTATCTTAATTTTTCCAGATAACTCGCCAATATCAAGTAATTTAACAGTTTTAAGGGAATTATTTAAGGTTTTATCCCAATTATTATATGTTTTAAGCCATTGAGATGCGTTGTGGTGACTGAAAATGGTCATTAACCATCACTGTTGGGGACACCAACAGTGTCTACTTAGTGATTTTATGCTGCATGAAACATTATTTGGTAGTTAAGAAGAGATTTTATGGGTATTAGTTTATTTAATTTATCCCGGACTGTCCTTATAGCTAAGTTAGTGCGGTTTGTCTGGCCAATCAGGAGCTTCGATTACTTGATTAAGGTGTGAGTACGTGCTCAAAGATTCACTAACCTAATCAGAATGGATTGGTTAAGATCATTTAATGGGTTTTTATTGTGATAAGGGTTGAACAAGTTGCCAATCAAATGGATTTCTGCCTCTTGGATCAATCTCGTTTAGGGTGAATCTGATTGGCAGATGCTCAACCAACCGCGATGATTCTGTGCAGTGATTATTTATTTGTGCGAGATGATTTCCCCCAATAAGCAAGGGTTTAAGCAAATCCCGTAGAGATTGGAGAGTGGAAGTGGGTTGCATCGCACGTACTACCTATACCCCAGTCAAACACAGTCAGCCTTTTGCCGTTTTATTCCGGTCCGCTGAGTGTTCCATCCTAAAACATGTCTAGTGTCATACAAACGTGTGCGTGTTCACTGTTAAGCCAAGTTTGGATCGGAAACAGTCGGGACCCTTTTGAGAAATTTTGTCTTGAAGTTGGATGTTTTGGTCCAAGCTCTGTGTGTTTGCCTTATTCTATGGTGTTTTAAAGGTACGTTTGGTGTAGTTTGTTGCGTTTGTGCAGTGTAGCATCTTCTGCGTTTCGTTTATGTCTAGTGTTTTGTGTTTTTCTCTGGCAAGGGTGAACGGAACTGCGAGTGGATGTTTATCGAATGTTTGGATTGTGGAGCTTAAGTTTGGTCTGGTTTATTGTGTGCGATTCATATAGTGTTTTCTTTGTATGTGTGTTTATATCGTAAATATTATCAATGGTTAGGGCAAACAATTATGTTATCGTATTATCAAATGTTTAACCCAACCTGTCAATTTTTACGCCTCGTAGTTTGTTTATCTCGTATATACTGTTTGCATTTGTTTTTGAAGGTCTCGTATTGTGTATTTAGCTGGTTAGGTTAAACAATTCTGCATGGATGTTTATGAAGTGTGTGGTCTGTGGAGGTGCTTGGTTTTGTTTATCGTGGGGGCTTTGTGTAGCGTTTGGTTTGTCTTGTATGTAGTTACGAGTGTATGATTGTAGCGTGTTTGGTATATAAGTTTACACATTAATGGTTATTTTAGCAGATGGGAAGAGGATAAGGTTAAATAGTTTGTATTTTGGGGGCACTGATAGTCTGTTTGCGTGTGTTATTCTGTGTGTTCAGGATCCAGTTTTATAAGTTGGTCTCATGTCGTTTGGACTAACCCGACTGTTTTTGAAATTTAAAATGCACACGCACATTTTTGGTTGATGTTAGAGATAGCATTTGTCTGGGTGTAATACTTAAGGTTGAAGCGTTGTTCCGACGCATTTTTTATTTGTTTATTTTTATTTTTTACAACAGTTAAGCCAACATATGTACAGTGATTTTATGCCCGGGAAAACAAATACAAATGGATTATTCTGATTTATTATTCTTAAATGGTTTTAATGTTTGTTTGGCTATGTGTACAGTATTCTGTTGGGTGACCCACTCATTTTGTTTTTTACTCTTGTTTTGAACCTGATATACTCTAGCGACCCCATAGTAGAACATTCTATTAGGGTCCGATAAGTAATATTCAAGAGTATTGGGGATTTGAGACCTCTTAGTGGAATGTTGTATTCTGGTTCGATAAGTCATAGCTATATTATTTAGGATAAAGTTTTCCTGTTTTTCTTTACAATTCGACTAGCTTATTCCAGTTAGAATATATGTTTCCTTAAAGAGTGTCAGTATTTCTGACCCCATAGAAGAAAGTTCTCTTAGTGTTCGATAATGCCACGTTTTTAATCGACTACCTTTATGTTTGAGTTCTACAAGTTGTATACATTGAGAGGGAAATTGTCTTGTTTATATTAACTAATTGCCCAATATAATATTGTAAATAACTGATTTTTCTCCAAATTGTTATTAAGGAGGTGAGACCCATAGTAAAATATTCTCTTGGGGTTTGAGAAGTTTACAGGATTTAAAAAATATATATATTTTTTAAACAATTATTAATTTGTTTTTATTTTTATTCAGTAAGGATGTTAAGGATTTGTCACCCTATAGTAAAGAAGGGTTCTCTTAGGGTTCCGTAAGTCATACACAAATTAACATTTTTGTGTGATTTGGGACTTGATTATTATGCCTGAGGGAATTGAGTTATTCCAACCCTATAGTAAAAAAATTCTATCGGGGTCTGTCAAGTAATATGGTTTTCTGGGGCTATGATTAGCTGACTGACATTGGCCAATGATTTAATATTTTTTTCCTTCCAATTGTTGTTGATGTATAGTAAAATATTTTGTGTATAGTTTAAGACTTGTATTGATTAATTGACTGACTGAGGGCTGATGATCTACTATGATAATGTTTAAGATGCACATGGAAAATAAATTGAACCTGCAGCTAAACTCAACAACATAATTTGGCCCAATTTCTGATCTGACGGGTACAAAAACATAACCCTAGGTTGAAGTCTACTATGGGGACCACTATAATATTTGATAAACAATATCATGGATACATTATTGAATTATTGCAGGTAAGATAACTTTACCCTAGGCTGAGGGTATACTATGGGGTCGACTACGATAATAATTAGTATGGTATAAACAACTTTAGACCCAATTACTCGTTAAGAAAATAAATTGAAGTTTGACAAAGCTCTACGATGACATAATTTAACCCAGTTACTGACAACACAGCTAAGATTGTGACTCTAGGCTGATGGTCTACTATGATACAGTAATAGTTAATGTAAGATAAATAAATTTGATTGACAAGTAAACATTATATTAGTCTTGGAAGTAATGGAATGCAATTTATAGAATTATCACAGATAACTTGACCCTTGGCTACTCTGGGGTTCACTGGAATAGTTGTTGAAACTAACTTTCAATGTATTTTGTCTTGAAACAAAATTTAGTCATCTGGTTAATTCCTTAAGCGATTTATTATAGCTTAAGGCAACGATCGTAGGCTGATGATCTACCATGGGGTCGAATGCAATAATTATTTAATGTAAACAACCTTCTACAGTTTGTATTTTCTTTATATACAAATATTTATACAGGTGTTGACCATAATATGATGGATCTATATATGGTCCATCATTTTTACCATGTTAAACAAATAACACCAATTACGGCTATACAGCACAATGGCTAAGATCAGTTTAACGCAGCTTCTGATTTTTTATTGTTAAATTTTTTTGATCTACAGGTATACAGTATACTTACAAAATTATTTTATTAGATATTTTTATTAATTACTTATTTACACTCGTGTTTGTGAGACAATGGCATGTACTATGTAAAGACATCTGTTGACTGTTTAATGATTCTGCTTCCTGAGAGTCATTGTATGCTGTACTGTACTGTACTATACTGAGACAATGGCATGTGCTATGTAAAGACAGCTGTTGACTGTTTAATGATTCTGCTTCCTGAGAGTCATTGTATGCTGTACTGTACTGTACTATACTGAGACAATGGCATGTGCTATGTAAAGACAGCTGTTGACTGTTTAATGATTCTGCTTCCTGAGAGTCATTGTATGCTGTACTGTACTGTACTATACTGAGACAATGGCATGTGCTATGTAAAGACAGCTGTTGACTGTTTAATGATTCTGCTTCCTGAGAGTCATTGTATGCTGTACTGTACTGTACTATACTGAGACAATGGCATGTGCTATGTAAAGACAGCTGTTGACTGTTTAATGATTCTGCTTCCTGAGAGTCATTGTATGCTGTACTGTACTGTACTATACTGAGACAATGGCATGTGCTATGTAAAGACAGCTGTTGACTGTTTAATGATTCTGCTTCCTGAGAGTCATTGTATGCTGTACTGTACTGTACTATACTGAGACAATGGCATGTGCTATGTAAAGACAGCTGTTGACTGTTTAATGATTCTGCTTCCTGAGAGTCATTGTATGCTGTACTGTACTGTACTATACTGAGACAATGGCATGTGCTATGTAAAGACAGCTGTTGACTGTTTAATGATTCTGCTTCCTGAGAGTCATTGTATGCTGTACTGTACTGTACTATACTGAGACAATGGCATGTGCTATGTAAAGACAGCTGTTGACTGTTTAATGATTCTGCTTCCTGAGAGTCATTGTATGCTGTACTGTACTGTACTATACTGAGACAATGGCATGTGCTATGTAAAGACAGCTGTTGACTGTTTAATGATTCTGCTTCCTGAGAGTCATTGTATGCTGTACTGTACTGTACTATACTGAGACAATGGCATGTGCTATGTAAAGACAGCTGTTGACTGTTTAATGATTCTGCTTCCTGAGAGTCTGCTGTACTGTACTATACTGAGATAATGGCATGTGCTATATAAAGACAGCTGTTGACTGTTAAATGATTCTGCTTCCTGAGAGAGTCAGTGTATTCTTTACTGTACTGTACTATACTGAGATAATGGCATGTGCTATATAAAGACAGCTGTTGACTGTTAAATGATTCTGCTTCCTGAGAGAGTCAGTGTATTCTTTACTGTACTGTACTATACTGAGATAATGGCATGTGCTATATAAAGACAGCTGTTGACTGTTAAATGATTCTGCTTCCTGAGAGAGTCAGTGTATTCTTTACTGTACTGTACTATACTG